TGGATGGATGGATGGATGGATGGATGGATGGATGGATGGATGGATGGATGGATGGATGGACGGACGGACAGACGGATGGATGGACAGACAGATGGATGGATGGACGGACAGATGGATGGATAGATGGACAAATGGATGGATGGATGGATGGATGGGCGGCTGATTGGGTGGGTGGGTGGATGGATGGATGGATGGATGGATGGATGGATGGATGGATGGATGGGAGACGTCATACCTGGATGGCCAGAGGCATGAGGTGTCCTTCAGAGGACAAGTGTAGCAAACACAATGGAGCTGCTATATGCTGTAGACGTCCATTATTTATCCCTGGAGAAAGGCCTTCCAAGATGTGGTAGTCCATCAGGAAGATCCGCTGCTTCTGAGGAGAACCAAGAAGAAGAAACTCAGACATGGAAGTGAGGAGAAGTAGGGCGACCAAATTCCAGGAAATGTGTGTGTATTGTCTGTGTGTGTGTGTGTGTGTTGTGTATCTCCCAAGAAGATCCCTTGAAAGCATGAAGTACCCTCTTCCTTACATTCAGCTCCTCCTGCAGGGTGGTGGAGTCACTGAGCGATGCGGCGACCATCTCTTGAGTCACGGGAAATTTAGACGGGATCTGGGCACATAACCGGATGAGAGTCGGGTTCAGCCCATTTAAGAATTGATAGCCAAAGAATTCGTCCCTCTTCCAATATTCCACGACATGCTCTGGAACAAGGAATACAGAACAGAATAGCAAAGTTGGGAGGGACCTGGGAGGTCTTCTAGTCCAACCCTCTGTTCAAGCAGGAAACCCTTTAGCCTTTCAGATAAGTGGTTCTCCAATCTCTCCTTAAAATCCTCCAGTGATAGAACGCCCACAACTTCTGGTGGCAAGCTGTTCCCCTGGTTAATTGTCCACACTTAGGAAATTTCTCCTTAATTCCTTAATGCTTCTCTCCTTGATTCGTTTCCATCCATTGCTTCTTACTGCAAGGCTTGGTTTCAAAATGTTGCTGTACTTTCCTCCCTCCAGTAGGTGGCTTTTACAACCCCTCAATACAATCAAATCAATAACTTGTCAAAAGTTATCAAAAACCAAACCGAAAGCTCTAAATCCACACGGAGAATTTCCGAATCTTTTCCTTTTGTTATTTTAAGTTCCAATTATATTGATCAACATCTTCTTGGGCTTAGTGTTTTAGTCACTGGTGGGAGTTTTCCCCATTTTTTCCCTCCCTCCATGTTCCAAGTGACAATTATCCGCTACGGGAAAAAAAATTAAGCTCCAAATTTTAATTCTTTTTTTACCCTTGAATTGGCCGATCTTTCTCTGGCCCCAACCCTCTGTCCATAACACTGCTCCTGCTCCAAACTTATTCCGGTTGCCCCAGCTTCAGAGCGGTCATTTAAAGATGGCCACCACACCTGCCATTAATCTTTGGAGAGCTTGTTTCTGACCTGTTGAGGAGCTTGCCTCACTCCTCACAGTCACCCGAAATGCCTCTCCTTGTTCCCTGACCCTTCAAGATGGTTCTGGTCTGAAGACCACTCAACAACGGTTTGCCAGCTGGGTTTTTGCGTAGCTCCTCGGAGTTCGCTATTTCCCCAGCCATTCTCACCGCTACGCTTTTGGTTTCCCCCCCCCTCCTGCCCTCAGGTGCTTTGGCGAATAGGTTGACCCCCCCCCCCCGTTCTTTGGGGCAGCCCCTCAGATATCAGAATACGGCCACCATGACCACC